AGAATCATCATTGTCAATGTTTTGATTGGAAGTGGTTGCTCTAGACTGTTGTAACTAAATCTAGCATCGCTTCCCTGTTAACAGTATTTCTGTTTACTGCAGGATTGGGTCTCGGAAATTGGGTACGCTGCTAAGGTGTTTTCATTCCTTGCCCAACGATTGGATTCGCGAAGTGGGTTACCCCTGGGAATGATGTTTCCAGGCCTCTCGGACTTCATGCACACAGATGAGTGGTGTATTCCCCCACAGTAGGTGCAGTTAGGTTTACTGCATTCGCTGCTTGAATGGTTGCCCAAGAAGCACTTCCAGCAGCACCTCTTTTCTTGCAGGATGTGCCTACGCCCTTGGCAGTCGGCTACCGTTCTACAAGTTATAGACGTATGATTTGACCTGTTGCAAAACACACATTTTATTTGGTAGTTGGAAGGGCTCTCGGTTTTGAAGTTGTTGCTCCGAGTTTGGTAGGTGCCCCCAAGTCGCGACTGGACGTAGGCTTTGGCGCTAATTTCCTTGTCCAAGGCCCCTAAGAGTGCATCGATTTCCATGTTATCGGTTTCTTGATGCTTAACTAGGATGTCCTTAACTATATCATCAGGAAATTTTTTCAATATTGTTTCGGACCACATGGGATCACATGTCCCTCTTATATCGTACCCTGACGAAACCATCTGATTGACGAGGGTTTTTATGGCATCAAAGCATTCTTGGCAGCTCTCTGCCTCTTTGGATGCGTTTTTTAGGTCGAAAAGTTTCTGCACGATTTTCGATTTGTTCATTGGCTTATTGCCATATCGTTTTCGTGACGGTTTCTACCATCCACGTATAGTTTTTTGGTACGGGTTGTATACCCCTTATAACTTTTTCTGCCGCCCCCTTTAAGCTGTCTCTTAAGAGAACTATTTTTTCTATTTCACTGATCTCATCGTTGCTGTGTACCAGGGTTTCAAAATGGCCCAAAATTCGGCGAATTCTTCCTGGTTTCCATAGAATTTCGGCAACACTATGGTTGGAGCCTTAATAGTTCGGCACCCTCTTGCTGGAGCTGTAGTGGTCTCACTGGCTGAGAATGGTCCCGAACTGGCTTCCCCACTTTGATCATACTGGGGAGAAGCATATGTGTTCCTTCCTTGAGACCCTGGGGGATTGAGCTTCCTCTGGAGCCTTTGCAGTTCAACTTCCATATCTGAGAGCAGTCCCACTATGCTACCTACGTATCTGAGAGCAGTCCCACTATGCTACCTACGAAGCGTCCCGCGTCCTCTAATATCCTAGAGTAATGGGTCTCCTTCTCGAGTTCCTCTACTTCTGCAATTGCCTCCTTCTTTTCTGTTTTGATTTGATTGCGTTGCAAAAATCCTCCAGAAGTTGGGCCTTACTTTCTAGTTTTTCTGTTACTGGTTTTACTTGCGTGAGGCAAGTATTTAGTTGTTTAACATATCTCTCTCTGGGGGAGGGGTAACCCACCTCTCGAATCCAATCGCTGGAGAAGAAATGGGAACACGACAAACAGCGTGCCCAACCGCTCTTCCGCAAGACCTAATCCCACAGTAAACAGGAATAACCTTACCAGCGGAAACGATATAAGGCGAAATCGCCCAAACCAAAACCAACCGCACATTTCGAACCAGAACATCGAAAATAACGCTACTTCTGGGGCTAATCATTATCAAGGCGAGCAGTTAGTACTAATGACTGCCGAAGGAATGGTTTTCAATCATAACACGAACTCCTTCGAAAATGCATTGTTCTTTTTCGATACAGGAGCACAAAAGACCGTCATCGAAGAGGCATTAGCCGAACGACTAGGTCTACCCAAGATTACAAAAGAAACCTG